TCCTCCTCCTCCTCCTCCTCCTCCTCCTCCTCCTCCTCCTCCTCCTCGCCTGGAGCGACCATGGCAACAGCTGAAGCTTCTGGAGGTTACTACCAGGTTCCCTGGGTGGTGGTGCTACAGAAGGAGGGTAAAGTGACTAGAGACTAAGGCTCTGGGAAACAGTGGCTCCTGCTTTCCTATTCTGGAAGTCTCCAAGAAAGAGTAACTAGTTGACCATGGGCTAAGCAGGACTGCCTGACTGAGAAGGTTTCCAGCCCTTCTCACTATGTTATGGCCTTGTACCTGGGAGGTGAGGTGTCTAGAAAGCTCAAGGCAGGCGTGTAACTGACACTAAAAGCCTTGCCTACATTCACTGGATTTCAGTGTCAGAACCAAGGCTAGCTCCCACTCCCTTAACTGACCTATCCAAGAACCCTTTGAATGTCACTACAGGACAAAGGCGCAGAAACAAGCCCAGGTGTAATGGCAGAGACGTTGCAGGAGCTGCTTTTTTGGGAGTGGGGTTGTCCAAATGGCAGACATGTGTCTTCATTTGTTACATATCACACCAGGCTCCTCACGGCTCATTCCCAGACCAGTGTCCACAGTTACAAAGTTTACTACAGCCAGCCCTTGTGTGACAGTCCAAGAATGCAATGAACGAAAGGGTTGTGCCTGGTGCGCTCTCACTGGGTACACATCCAGGAGAATCCAGAACATTTGTCCACGCACAAGCTTGAACATGAATATTCACAGCAATTTCCTTGTAGTAGCCACAAAATAAAAATAGCAAACATGTCTATCTAATGATGGGCAGTAAAATAAACATGGTAACATTCATGCAATAAAATGTTTCTCAGGTATATGAAAGATTAGGAACTTACCAAGACCCGATCGTGATTAAATATAGAAATCTGCCAAGCAGATGAAGTCAGTCACAAAAGACCACACACTTTCCACTTCTGTTTCTGTGAAATGCCCATAAGAGTTAAATTCAGAGGCAGGAATGAGGTCTGTGGTTACTGAAGTCTGGAGTG